CGGATTAAATTTAAGAAAAAGTAAGTGTGTTAATGTGAGTGAATGTGTGTGTCTGTTAGTGAGTGAGTGTGTGTGTCTGTTAGTGAGTGAGTGAGTCAGTGTGTGCATCTGTTAGTGTGTGTCTGTGTGTGTGTGTGTCTGTTAGTGTGTGTCAGTGTGTGTGTGTCTGTGTGTCTGTTAGTGAGTGTGTGTGTGTCTGTTAGTGAGTGTGTGTGTGTCTGTGTGTGTCTGTTAGTGAGTGAGTGTGTGTGTCTGTTAGTGAGTGAGTGTGTGTCTGTTAGTGAGTGTGTGTGTGTCAGTTAGTGAGTGTGTGTCTGTGTGTGTCTGTTAGTGAGTGAGTGTGTGTGTCTGTTAGTGAGTGAGTGTGTGTCTGTTAGTGAGTGAGTGTGTGTCAGTAAGTGAGTGTGTGTCTGTTAGTGAGTGAGTCTGTTAGTGATTGAGTGTGTGTCTGTTAGTGTGTGTATGTCTGTTAGTGAGTGTGTGTGTGTGTTAGTGAGTGAGTGTGCCTAGGGCAGCACAAAACCAGGATACACCACTGCCTGGAGCCATTGCCCCATCGGGTCCAATGGACGGGCCTTTTCACAGGCATTATTGGCTTCCTAACATTTCATAACGGATGCCTCTGATTTATCTAATTTAAATACTTTTCATATTTTTTGTATTTCTTGGCACACCTTCCTACTAAGTCACATTCCAGTTTGTTTCTTTAATATTTGTTACCCAATGGCACGCACTGAGAAGTATTTTTCTCGTATTTGCCTGAAGCTATTCCATTTATCCTCCAAGCCTTTTTCAGGAAAGAGTTTATACCAGTAAAGAATTGTAAATACTTTTTAAAATTGCATGTTTTATGTTATGTGCTTTTGCCTTCTTGGACTGTGATCACTATTTTCCAAGTGCTCCCTTACATGAATGATTGAAAAAAGATCAACATTGTTTCTCATAACCAGATCCAAACAAGTACTCTTTCTAGTTGATTGCTTCTACGAATGGTGACAATTGAGTCATTTTACAAGTTCAAACATCTGTTTCCCCTAAGTAAACTACTAGTCCCTCTATCCCAATTTATATCTGGATAATTAAAATCTCCAAAAACGAAGTGTTATCCAGATATGAAATTTTCTCAGTCTGCGTTAACACCTGTTTTTACTTATCAATATGAAGTGGTTTGTTCTTCTATCTACCACTCAAATTAGTTTCAACTACCTCTAATAGCTACATTAAACTGCAAGTTGCGCCTAATCCCATGCTACAATCAGTGAACAGCTCTCACACAGTCATAGCAAGGGTAAGATAGAGTGTATCACTGCTTGTCTGTCTCCCTCAATATCTGCAGCCATATTATCTCAGAGAATCTGTAACATTAGTAACCAATATGCGGAGTGAAAACCACCAGAACAACAGAGACAGATAGAAAGTCTCTAAACAGGTCCTTAGAATGGCTGGATAAAATAGAAACTACAAGAAATGCCAGAAACAAGCCAAGGTCAAAGGAAGCCAGAAATACACAGTAGCAAGTAACGTAACAGAGTCAGGGAAACCAGAAATAAGAATAGTCAAGAGCAAGCCGGGTCAAAAACCAAAGAACGATCAAAAGAATACAGGAACGCGCTGAGGGTTCACTAGGAACACAAGGCACACTAGGAACCACAAAAGGGCACTGATTTGGGGGCAGACTGGGGTTTTATATGATTGTGGACATGATTATCATAACCACGCCCCCCAAAAGGTACCTGTACGTTGAGCTCACTTGTTTAGAGCTCTTTCGACCTCAGGGCGTTGGTACGCATGCGCCACCTCTTTAACCCCTTAAAGGACCACTCTAGGCACCCAGACCACTTCAGCATAATGAAGTGGTCTGGGTGCCAGGTCCAGCTAGGCTTAACCCATTCTTTTATAAACAGAGAAACTGCTATGTTTATGAATGGGTTAAGCCTTCCCCCAAATCCTCTAGCGGCTGTTTAATTGACAGCCGCTAGAGGCGCTTGCGTGCTTCTCACTGTGAAAATCACGGTGAGAGCACGCAAGCGTCCATAGGAAAACATTGATAATGCTTTCCTATGCGACCGGCTGAATGCGCGTGCAGCTCCTGCCGTGCGTGCGCATTCAGCCAATGGGGAGGAGAGGAGGAGGATCGGTGGAGGAGAGCTCCCCACCCAGTGCTGGAAAAAGGTAAGTTTTTACCCCTTTCCCCCTTCCAGAGCCGGGCGGGAGGGGGACCCTGAGGGTGGGGGCACCCTCAGGGCACTATAGTGCCAGGAATACGAGTATGTTTTCCTGGCACTATAGTGGTCCTTTAAGGACCAAACTTCTGAAATAAAAGGGAATCATGACATGTCATGTGTCCTTAAGGGGTTAAAAGGCATCCCTGATGCTTAATGCATCCGTTCCCTGCTTGGGAGCGGCAGTCCAACCGATCCCGATATCGGCAGATCGGCGGACCGATAAGGTTAGTGGCTGAAGGCTTACAGAATCCGACTTGAAGGTAGAATTTGTTTTACTGCTCCTTGGCTGTCCCCTAACCATCCCTTTTGATAAGACAGGAGATTCAGCCCACATGATTGGGCAGACATATTGTCTATCATGGAAAACTAAAATACTTATTTGCCTCCACCCAAAACGAAAAAATTGCCTTTTCTAAATTTCATCTCCCTTTTATCTGGTGCCAGGAATGGCACTGTGAGTGTGAATCAAGAATGAACCGAGCCTATTTGGATAATTGCAAGTCAGTAGCCCCAAGGTTCTTGCGTGTGGCCGCTCGGGACACAACATTTCTGCCAATTACTTTGCATTTCTAAGTCTAATAACTGCATCATTAATTAAAAAAATAAATAAATAACACATTTATGGATCCATTGCTGCCCACTTAAATAAACTTTACACTAGGAAAAAAATTTTTTTTCAAAAGTGCAGAAAGGTATAGTGTGAGGCAAATACAATTACTCATTGGTTGGCTGGCAGGAAATTACTTTGAAATTCATATTATTTGATGTAGAGATAATATCAAAAAGATAGAGCCTCATGCATGATGACTTAGACAGCATAACAACAACAAAACCATAGCTAATATGTTAGGCAAATTATGTTTAAAAAGTAGCATGTGTGACAAAGACTAATTTACAAACTGTATATGATATAAGGAAGAGTCGATAATAATTGGGAAAGTACAATAATGCTAATAATTTTAATTATCAAAGGCATAGTGGAGTAAATAAGTGGAGTAATAGTGGAGTAATAGTGGAGTTAGTATGGAGTAAATAAGGAAAATATATCCATAATTTTATTTTAATGGCTGCTTTCTCAGCAGCATTAACATGTGGGTTAGTTTGACTCCCTTTCAGCCGATTTAAAAAAAATGTAAATATCTACATAAAAAATAATCACCATAATCATTCTTGCCAGTGTTAAGAGGAATACAGGACGGAAAGCAGTGCTAACATGGATTCTAGTCAAAAAAGGAAAATTAGAGCGAGTATGAATACATTTTCCTTATTCCTGACTAATCATAACAACAATAACCTGTGTCAACCAATGCAAAAACAGGGAAGGCCATATAATGCAAACAATAATTTAATTATAATGAAACATGGAATTGACAGCTGCATGTTCATATTCATCTTTGGAAGCATAAGAAAAATCCAAATGGCAATATCAGACAAATACATTTAGAGAGAATCTATTATTAATATTATTACTATGTATATAGTGCAAACACACTCTGCAGCATTTTAGATTTATATAATGGGGATGTTTGACAAAACCTACTTGACATACAAAATATTAACAGAGACAAGAGTCTACAAAGCCCCTTTTCAAATGACATTAAAATCTGTGAGGTAGTGTTGAAAACACACAAGAGAAATAAAAGCATGCCAGTGGGCATGCTCAACAATTGCTCTGTGGAGAAATATTAGTCCCTGCATTCCAAGAGACTAAAATTTATTTTATTTGAGTGAGTCCTTATGCCAGGCAGCACCAGAATATGTTGGGCCCCAAAAGCTTTGAAGAAGATTATAACAATCATCTTTCAAGTATGCTCATAGATGCAGCTTCTTTCTTGCAGTCCCATAACAAATGATGAACTGTTAAGATTTACTCTAGAATGGCTGCAAATAATGTAAATAGAAAGGAAACAAACAATGTCCAATTTGTGACATCTCTCTTCTTCTGCTGCAAAGGGTAATGGGAAAAAAGAGGGAACAATGACCTCTTGATTAAGATAGCACCTCCTTAGTTAACAATTGTGGCACATGTCTTAAGGCAACCTTATCCTGGAAGAATGTTGTGATTATTTTGTGCGTTGTGTTTCCACTGAGAACAATGATCTATTAACATTCATTAACAGAAGTAAAAGCTACCAGTAGCAACTGGTACCTGAAGACAAGCCTGATGACCTACAATCTATCTAATCTGACTCTCTAGAAGGCCTTTGTAGTCATAAAATTGGTGGTATCATCTGGGTTGTGTCTTCAGGATGGCTGTGATAGTTATTTTGGTATATGCCTTAGGTCTACCATGCCATCCTGCATGCAAATGCCTTGAGGACGACTCACCTTACTCAATTGAGATCCAGTACTCATATTGCTCTTCTTGAAGCTTTTAATGATGGGATCTGTATGGGATACTGGTGTTGGCTATAAGATACTTGTCTATCTGTTCCTGCCTTTTGTCCTGGACAGGCCTTGTAGCTGTCCCTACCCCCTTCTTGGGCCAGAGGGGTTATCCCAGTCTATATATGTTTTGTTGGTACCATCTGCTTACCAGTTTATGATTATTTCTACCACCTGTGGCCAAGATATCCCACGGTTATCCACATAATAATTCACAAGCACAATTTCAAGATGTCTCACTTACATGTATCCAGATATGGCAGCCAACCATACTAAACCTAGGTTAAGGGATTATGACCACAAGGCTCTAGGTGCGATTCTTGGTGCTGCCTTGGACTGCCCCTTCTTTGGATATGAGCTGCCTTTTAATCTGGGCCCAGTGCGGAGGACCATAGCTAAGTGCACACTGTCCTGTGAGCACCGTTGTGTTTGAGACTTTATGACCCCCAATCGACTGAGGTTCAGTATGCTGGTTGAAGTCTGCACTGGCAAATAGACTGATATGGTGAGTGGTGCCATTGGGGTTTTTGTGGTACCCTGGTGGACAAGAAGAGTGTGAGCTGGAGGTTCCTCAGCAGTAACTTGGCTAATCCAGTATTCATACATTTAAGCTTATTAAATGAGGTGAGGAGGGACAAGTGCGGTGCATGTTGTGGTAATATCCATTGCCATGAATGTTATAAATCCTACTTATGCCAGTGGCTTTACTTATTAGCAGTTAGTCTACTTATTATTCATAATAATTTGTTCTATAGCCTTTTAGACTTTAACTTAAACAACTCCTTATGGATGATGTGGCCATCAAATTTCATGGTCGTGTTGCTCTTTCCATGAAAGGGCTAATAAATGGATACTCTATTGGCAAGTTTGTGACTCCTATGTGTTTGCGTTAGAAAAGCCATTTTAGAAAAGCGGTCAACAATCAGTAGGATGGTGTTATAGCCTTTAGAATTCAGGAGTTCCACAATAAAGTCCATAGACAAGTGAGACTATGGGACACTGGGTATAGGAAGCGGTTGCAGTAACCCACAAAGTAGTTTATGGGGAACCTTAGAAACCGCACAAATAGTACACACCTCCACATACTCTCTGATGTCCTTTCTAAGAGATGGCCACCAAAATGCTTTAGAGACAGCGGACACCGTTTTATTAATGCCTGGATGTCCAGCTGTCACATTATCGTGAAACACTCTTAGTACCTCCTTTCTTTCCAGTAACAGAATAAACAACCTATCTTGAGGTTTATCACTAGGTGCTTGATGTTGGGCTGCCATTATAGCATAAAGGAGAGGAGAAGACAAGGAAAGAACCGTGGAGGCAATGATACCTCCAGGTGGTATAATGGGAAAGGTGTCTTGTTCTTGTTCAGCCTCTAGGTCAAATTGCCTAGATAGGGTGTCAGCCTTAACGTTCTTAGGACCTGGTGTCTGTACATGATAATAAAGTTAAAGCGTGACAAGAACAACGGCCATCTAGCTTGTCTAGAAGACAGCCATTTAGCATCACCAATGTATGCCCCATTTTTGTGATCAGTTATGATCAGGAGTGGATCCCTGGAACCTTCTAAAAGATGTCGCCATTCTTTCAGAGCTAAGATAATGGCTAACAATTCTTTGTTACCAATATCATAGTTACGCTCCGCTGGCGACAACTTTCTAGAGAAGAACCCACAAGGATGCAAAGGGGTATCCTGACTCTCCCTCTGAGAATGGATAGCCCCTACTCCTGTCTCAGAGACGTCTACTGCTAGTATGAAGGGTTTGCTAGTGTCAGGGTGTACCAATATGTCAGCAGAAGTGAATAATTTCCTAAGTAGCTCAAAAGCTTCTTTAGCTTCTTAAGACCATATATCACAGTTAACCCCCTTACGCGTCATATTGGTTGTTGGGGGTTAACACAGTAGAGAAGCCTTTGAATCTCCTATAGTAGTTAGTAAACCCAATAAACCTTTGAATGGCTTTTAACCCATTGGGTAATGGCCTATGTAGAATGGCTTCTAGTTTGCGTGGGTCCATCTGAAAACCAGAGGCAGAGATATTATAGCCCAAGAACTGAACTTCCGCCTGGTCAAATAGACATTTGTCAAGTTTGCAATATAGCCTGTTTTTAAGCAAAGTTTCAACACTTGTTTAACATGCCCATGATGAGTCTGGATATCTGGGGAATAAATGAGTATATCATACAGATATACCAATACGAAAGTATAAATGTAATCTCTGAGAAAATCATTAATGAGAGCCTGTAATATGACTGGGGCATTGCATAGGCCGAAGGGCATGGCAAGATACTCATAATGACCATTTCTCGTGTTAAATGCTGTACTCCATTCATGTCCCTCCTTAATCCTTACCAAATTATAAGCACTCCTAAGGTCGAGTTTGGTAAACACCTTAGAGCCCTGGAGTCTGTCAAATAATTCTGAGATAAGGGAAATGGGATAAACATTTTTGATGGTGATCTTGTTCAATGCCCTACAATCAATACATGGCCGTAACTCTCCTCCTTTCTTGGTAACAAAAAAGAACCCTGCACCTGCAGGAGAAGAAGATTTACATATGTGGCCTTTTTGTAGAGACTCTTTAATGTATTCTTCGAGGTGTTTACTGGAACATTGTATATCGATAAAGTTTTCTGCAGGGCGTTACACGTAAAACTTATCTCATCATATCGAGTAGCAAAACTAAGGAGAAATCTACTTTGGGTAGTACCAGGGGACATATACATCACACCTAAGGCCGGTCCCCAACGGTTCTTAAGTTTTACGGGCGTATGGGACAAGCATTTCTTATGTGTCCTTTCTTGCCACAGTATAAGCAGAGGCCCTTTTCTCTCCTAAACTGTTTCTCTGCCTCTGACAGTCTCATAACACCTAACTGCATTGGTTCAGGTTCAGACTGTGCAGAAGGGCCAGGAACAACAAGATTGGAGAAGCAAGCTGCCAGTGACATATTCTTATGTCTGGTTCTATTTCTAGTTAGCTCCCTGTTCCTAAATTGGTTATCAATTTGCATCACATAAGTGATGTATTCATTTAACCTTCCTGGTAGTTTCTTGGCTGCAATTTCGTCAAGGATAGCTTTGGATAATCCCTCTGCAAATGCAGTGATTAATCTGTTATTAGTGCAGTCTACCTCAGAAGCCAAGGTGCGTAATTCTATGGCATAATCTAAGACAGAACGGTTCCCTTGTTTGATATGCATTAGGGCAGTGGAGGAGTTGTTCTCCCTTCCCAATGGTTCAAACGTTAATTTGAATTCCACAAGGAATTCTTGGTAATTATGGGCAATAGTCCTATCACTTTCCCATAATGGTTTGGCCCAAGCTAAGGCTTTACCTTTCAGTTGGTTCATTAAGTACCCAATTTTAGCTCTATCTGTAGGGAAGGACCCAGGTGAGGCATCAAAATGGTACTCAATCTGATTATGGAATCCCAGACATTCTTGAGTATTCCCTGCAAAATGCTGGGGGTGGAGATAGGGAGATAGTAGGTGCTTTATACAATATAGGTGTAGGTACAGTAGGCGGGGGTGTAACTGCCGGAGGAACTTCAGGCTGCAAATGAGCCGTACATATTAGGAGCATATTGAAAGCCTGGGCAAATTGATCCATGCGATGATCATTTTCCTCTAGCTTTCTCTCGCAAGCTGCTATGTGCTGACACAAATCTGCAGGATCTATGGCCATGTCGTAATGTCAGGATTATAGTTGATCCAGCATGTAGAATACTATCACACCTAGGACTAAGGATAACATCTAACCGGACCTTAGAATGGCCAGACTTAACGTATCATTCATGATAGAGATTGGATCATCACCTTGCGTGATGAGGTAATGACGTCAACGTCATATGATGACTTTGCGTACGCATGCGTTGACGTCGGCGGAATCCGTGCAAGATTCAGACTGGGCTGACAAGGAGTGGATAGTGTTCCATGGTGGGTAAGTTAATTGTATATATGTGTCTGTAGGTATATAGGGAAGCACTTGTATCGTGTTTGTTAGTCCTGATAAAAGTTTGTGTATAACAAACTGAAAACTTGATTTTTTTAAATGTGACACTAATTAAAAGCTAAGTTTTACTTTCTGACAAGTCCTAGGAGTGCTATCTGGAATATCTTCTATATATATCATGAATGTCTCAAAACCTTCTTCGCAGCCAATTATTCTCCAATGTTTTGCACTTGTAATCCTGGAATGAGAGACCAATCTGAGATTGTTGTTTCTCTTCCAGGCTCTCCCCGTTTTTTGTTACTAAAAGATATTTAGAGGGCATGCAGAGGGCATTTGATAAACATTAGACAGACTTGAAATATGATATACAAACCCAAGAAAGGGGGCAGCTTAGGTTTAACCAACCTTTCAATGTATAATTATGCGGTGCTACTAGCACAAATTGTGATGTGGCATGTTCCTCTAGATGATAGAAGGTGAGGAAATATTGAGTCAGACTTGATGAGTTTTGACCTCGCAATGTTTATATGTGGTTGAACAGGTCTCAAAGGGCCTCTTTTGAACGGCTTGCTATACTTAATTCACTTTGTCTATTGGGTTGTTTTAGGTACACATTTGCTTTGGCCACCAGCCTCCTATTACCACAATTTTGAGAAAAGGTATTTCCTCCAGGTATCTGCTCTTTAGAATTAGAGAAATCCATAATTCAATTCTACATATACCTGTGGAGAGATTCCTCTGTAGTAAGCTTTCCATACTTACAGAGTAACAACCCCTTAATTATCAAAGATTTTTCTGATATGTTCTAATACAAAATTTTTTGCACTTAGATGTCTGGAGGGCTTACAGCAGTCCCCAACATAGATCTTGTCCTCCTCCCCTTACACTTGTCTTATTGTGGAGGGATCCCCCAATGAGGCAATGTGTAAGTAACATAAAAAATGTGTGATCAGAGCAGCTGCAATAGACAATACATTCAGTCAGGAAACATCAAAGGTTACAACAGTATATTATCCCCCAAATCATTCCCCTTTAATGTGCAGCAATAAGCATGAAAAGTTAGTAAAAAAAAATGATGCACTCTTAAGGAATCCATCCACTTCTCCTGTCCTGAGGATGCAGGACCCCAAATAAAAATCCCTAACTTGATGCATGTTGTAGAACACGTTAACTAACTGTGAGATGCACTCCCAGGTCAGTTACAGCTATAGGCTTACCAGGATCCCCTTACCCATCCTCCAAAAAAATTATTAAAAGAGTCAGTAGCGCAATACAGCTTCTTGTAAACCACACGTGTAGTCCCCCCCAAAAATTAAAAAAAATTAATAGTTTTTCTTATGTGTAGAGTAAGGAAATTACAATGAACTCTCCTGTGTTGGTTGTTGGAGACAGGAGTCACAGACACAGTGAGTCACTTAGTGAGGCATCCAACAATAGGTAGAGGGCCAATGCTTTCGAGCCATTGGTAGCAGTCGACTGAGCAGGTACCTCATGGAAGTTCAAAACCGAACTGGGTGGTGCACTAGGACCATACAGAGATGGCCAAAAGCAGGAAGTCTGCAGTATAAGATGGGTAGACAGGCCTAACATATTTCTATGTAGAAGTCAG